CTTGGAGCAACCTGCTCTAGTGGAAGGTGTCCCTGCCCGGGGCAGGTGATCTTAAGAGCCCTTCAACACAAACTTTTCTATGATTCTAAATCCTCAAGCAGGGAAATTCAGAGCCCTGATACCTGCACTTTGTAGTGCCCTGCACCAGGACAAGCCATCATTGCAAGCATCTGGAGCCCTTCCTCTGACCCGCAGCAGAGCAGCTGATGTATGAGTGCTCCAGAGGCAGAGCAGGCAGCCAGGGAGGGCAAATTCCCATGTTCCATTAGGATTTGGAGCTCTGCAAGTGATGACATCTCGGGCAGGATGGGCTACTCCCAGTTCAAAGAGTGCCAAGAGCCTCAGTACCCATAAACTCTGCACATCTCCGATGATTACATTTGGAGGGGACAGTGCTAGAGGAACAGAAAAGGACTGTGATCTGATCTCAGATGCCTGTTGAGGGCTCTGCCCTGCATGTGCTGGCACAGACCAGAGTAGCTGAGGTCATGGTTTTCCCTCACATCTTTGCTCTGTACCATGATTTCAGTAGCAAGACACAAGGTTGTGGTGGTTTTTCTTCCACATCCCTTGCGTTTGGGTGTTGCCTTCCACAGATCCTAACTCCTTATCCCAGTGCAAGCCTGTAGGTTCCCTTTTCTCTGGGTGCAGTGGTTGCCAGCTCTTACTTCACTTCCTTCCTCACTGTTGCTGCTGGCTTCTGCTTGGGTTTTGTTGCAAGTCACTTCCAAGGGGGGTTAAAATGAAAGAACCATTCCCAGGATCTTTGTTCCCTCAGAGTGTGGGTTCCCTCTTTCTCTTTTTCCTTAGGAGCATTTCCTTCGGGTGGAGCTGGTGAGTGAGGCTGGGAAGGAGGGAGCTGCTGGCACTTGCTCTGTGCCACAGTGTGCGGAAATGCTGCAGTCCAGCTCCGGGCTGGTTGTGAAGAAACTCCCGTTGACTCACGTATGTCAAACCCTCCTTGGGCTTTTGAGATCATGGTTCTGAATTGGGAACCTTCACAATCACTTGTGGGGTGGCTCTGCCTGGGGACTGTTCGGAGCTGTCTCATCAGGGAGGGACGACCTGAGGGCTAAGCTCCAGTGGAAGGGAGCAGGGAACATCCTGTGGCTGCATCTCATGCCCACAGCTCCCCAGCCTCTTACTTCTGCTCCCAACCAGCTCTTAACTAGGGATGACTTCCCCACTGCATGACTCAGGGGGGTGCTCCAGTTTCCACTGATACACTCAAGGCTTCACCTCTCTTTGAGACCAATTGTGGTCTCAGTGGAGCTTGTTTTGAGGTTTTGGTGTGTCAGATCCCATCTCTGACCCTCAGAGCCTCTGCTGAGGCCATGGAACAGCCTTCTGGGGTTAGCAGAGCACCCTCACCTCCCTGACAAACTGGCTTTTGGGTCCCGTTTTGGCTTTGATCCCACTGTTCTGGCTCTGGGCGGGATCCTAGAAGGTGAAGGTGAAGGCCAAGCTCCCTGCTGAGTAAATCAATGGAGCTCCATGACAAGAGCAGCAGGTGGCTCTGAGCCATCTGCAGGGGACATGAGCACTGAGGACAAGGGCCTGTAGGGACAGGCCAAGGGGAATGGCTTGAACCTGCCCGAGGGGAGATTGAGATGAGCTCTTGGGCAGAAGCTCTTCCCTGTGAGGGTGCTGAGGCGCTGGCACAGGGTGCCCAGAGAAGCTGTGGCTGCCCCGTCCCTGGCAGTGGTCAAGGCCAGGTTGGACACGGGGGCTTGGATCAACCGGCGCTAGTGGAAGGTTGCCCTGCTCGGGGCAGGGGTTGGAGCTGGAGGAGCTTTGAGATCCCTTCCACCACAAACCAGTTTGTGATTCTATGACAAAGCCTCATCCTTCACCAGCAAAGACCTGCACAGGCGTATTTTGGTTGCATCTATTAATCAAACCATCCCCTAAGGGATTTCCTCAGTGGCAGGAGATGCTTTGGGCGCATCACTGTTCTCCTCCCTGGACGTGAGGGCGCTGCATCCCAGGTTGGGTTCCTCCAGCCTCCTCTCCTCTGAGGTCTCCTCTCTTTCTCCCACAGAGCAACCACAGCAGGGATGCGGGTGGTTCTCTCTGCCGCTCGTGCACACAGCAGCGCTTTGGCTCCCTGACACCACTCATCTTCTCCCCAGCACTTCAGGAACAACCCATCCAGCTCTAACAAAGCCCTCCAGCTCCCCAACGCCGCTCTGGGTGCAGGACAAGGCCTGTTGTCACATCCCAGCTCCAGAATCGGGTGGATATGGGAGCAGGATTTCAGAGCAGCTCTGAGAGGAACCCTCTGGCCTCTCTGCAGGCTGATGTGAGCCCTTGTCTCCAGCCCCACTTTGTCCTCCACAGCTGGTCAGCGTGGGCTGCTCTGCATCTCTGGACAGAAGAACATGCACTATGTGTCAGACAGGGTGGGGTTTGGGTTCTTTTGAGCATTACCCCTCCATTGCCTCTGTCCCAAGGAAAAACCCTCCAGCAACCAAATTGCCAGGATACTCGAGTCTACTCCATCCTGTCAATGCCTCAGTGAAATCCCTTGATCCACTGGAAGAAGAGGAAATACTGGAAAGAACCCAAAGAAACACTTTATTCTGAGAAAATGAATGTTTCACTGTTTGCTCTGGGAAAAGGTCATTAAATCTCCCAGCTGAATGAGGCAGCCAAGGGATTCCCCAGGCCCTTTCCCTTCTCCCTAGGGGAAACCATAAGGAAAGAAGAGAGGCAGCATCTGAGGGACTGCTTTGATTTGGTTTCAGTCTAACTCAGAGAGAGGTTTAAATCTCAAATTAAGGTGGTTACAAAGGAAAAAAAGCCTTCATGCTTTCTTTGTTCTCTTGCCTTCAGTTAAGAAGTCACTCTGGCTTGTATTTATTGACCAGCTATCGCAGTAGCAGTGACGTGAGTGGCACAGATGATGGCTTATGCCATGGCACGTTGTTCCAGAGCCTGTGTCATTCCAAAACTGAAAGTGATTTGGGAAGAGATCAGCTGTTGGACATAGGCCCGGAGCTGTGAGCCGTGCCTGCTGGAGGGAGCTCAGGAATCCTGTTGATTTCCATGGTTATTACATGATTGCTTCATTTGCTCCATTCAGTTGCTTCTCTGGCTCTGCTTTTGCTTTCAAAGCGTGAACACCCTTTCAAAGCAGAACTTTCCCTGTTCTGCTCACCTAAACACAGGCAGAATTTCACCCAAGACTTGGACACTGGACCAGGCACCTCCAGGGATCCCTTCCAGCCTTTCCTGTCTTCCAACCTCAATTGGATGAGGCTGTGCCGTTGCCTGAGGGTTTGGTCTGTCACATCCCAAGCGCTGCTGCTTCTCTCCACAACAGTCTGGATCAGTGGCACAACCAAGAGCCAAGACAAAGCAGCAAGGAAAGGCCATGGAAGTTGGTTATTGGGTACCAACTAATATCCAGCTGACTTCTAAAACCCCTTTCCCTGTCCAGCTGGGAACAGGCAGCTCCATCTTGCCATCACCCTTGGCCTTGGACAAGTAGTGGTGAGCCCTGGCTGGTGCTGAGATGGATTTCGCCCCAACCCTGAGAGATGCTGAGATGTCCAAGCAGACGAGATCAGCTGCTCTGTGTGTATTGTTTTATGTACATTATATACACGTATATACATAAACCAGCGATTGTCTACAGCTGCCTCTTCTGTAGCAAGGAGGAGAGGAGTGGATAACAACAGGGGTGGACAAAGGGCAGTCATGCAAAGGGAAGTAGTTCCCTCGTCATGTTACTGCCTTCGGTCTGATTGTGTCTGCAGTGAAATCGCTCCCCGCCAGTGGCACCCGGGGTCTGAGGATCCCTGAGCTGTGTAGGAGGCACCTTCACCACGGTTCTGGGTTCACCAGTGAGTGGCTGAAAGAGAACAGGAAGGGAGTGAGGCACCTGCAGCTCAGAAACCCCCCGAGTGCTGGGCTGCATCCCCAGAGCATGAGCAGCAGGTCAAGGGAGGGGAGACCCCACTGGGGGCAGGGTGTGCAGTTCTGGTGTCCCTGTGTAAGAAGGGCACGGAGCTGCTGGAGCGAGGCCAGAGGAGGCCCCGGAGCTGCTGCGAGGGCTGGAGCAGCTCTGCTCTGGAGCCAGGCTGAGAGAGCTGGGCTGGGGCAGCTGGAGAAGAGAAGGCTCCTGAAGGGGACACCTTAGAGCAGCTCCAGTGCCTAAAGGGGCTCCAGGAAACCTGGAGAGGGGCTTTGGACAAGGGATGTAGGGACAGGCCAAGGGGAATGGCTTGAACCTGGCCGTCGGGGGGTTGTGACGGGGGGCT